AAAGTGTTACCAGTTTTTTGAAGGAACTGGGTTCTAGGCTCATTGAAACAACGAGGGACCCAAGAGCTGCAAGCTTTCTTTTCCAGCGCCTCAGTGTGGCGATACAGAGGGGTGATGCGCACTGCATCCAGGGTTCCTGCCCGCCATCTGAGGAGCTGGAGGAACTCGACAACCTATGATAACCATCTTTGTAACCCATATGTAACTCCTTTTTTGTAACAAAGTTCAAATAAAGTAAATATATATATATGTGTACATACAAAAGAATGGGGGTGGTAGGAGAAGATAATATTAGTGTTCAGTGAGAAACCACAGGGTCTCCTCTGAATACTATTTATTTTCTTCTCCGAGGCTATGGGTCCCCACATTGGCACCAGAGGTGGTACCCTCACAAACTTTTTTTTTATAAATATATATATTTTTTTTAATAAATACGTTCTTATTTACAGCTAAGTGAGTTTTATAATACAGCCCGCATCAGTTAACTAACTCTCGGACACCTGTCACTGCTAGGTGAACAGGTGCATCAGGTGTCAGGTAACGTGCCCAAAACTGTTATCCTGCCCGGGATTCGAACTCTGAATCAATTGGTTTTTAGAGCATGTGAGGATTCAAGAAACTTAAATCTTAATTACAAAACATCATTGATAACAACAGTTGGTGTAGTTAACCCCCAGAGTCATTAGCAGGATGAGTTAATAGTTATAGGTCTGAAGCCCCCTCCTCTGACGAGCCTATTTAATAACTTCAAGTTAGCGTAGGGCGGAGCTTCATATTTTCAAGAAAACTGTCGAATGCAATTATATAATTAACGACCAAAATATTATTATTCAAAATATGAAAGAAGCGAGAGAATTAATTACTCTCTCTTCTTGAATATTTAGAATATTAAGCTGGTGTAATAATGACTACAATAGTCGTGGCAGCAAGTGACACTAACCAACTAGGACATCCCAAATAAGTCAACAGAACAACTGAGGAAACGTGAGTCAAACTCGTAATGGGTTTGGGAAGTCCGGGAATGTAGAAAACGAAACCCGAACAGAAAATGCGTCATCATAGAACACAGACTAAACCAAAACATGGGTGGAAATACACTATGGGTGCAGCTCACTCACTCACTCACTCACTCACTCACTCACTCACTCACACACACACACACACACACACACACACACACACACACACACACACACACACACACACACACACACACACACACACACACACACACACACACACACACCCACACACCACACACACCACACATACACACACACACTGTGTGTGTTAGCTCCACCCATACACTATGGGTGCAGCTAACTCACACAAACACACGTACTCTACACTGGCAAAAGTTAGAACATCATTCAGAAACCTAAGTAAGGAGGCATTTAGAGTGCTTTACACTGCCTACGTGAGGCCAGTCTTAGAGTATGCCGCCTCATCATGGAGTCTCCATCTGAAGAAGCATATAAAGAAACTGGAAAAGGTTCAGAGGTTTGCAACGAGACTCGTCCCAGAGCTACGAGGGATGGGGTATGAGGAGCGCCAGAGGGAATTGTGCCTTACGACACTAGAAAGAAGAAGGGAGAGGGGGGACATGATAGGAACGTATAAAATACTCAGAGGGATTGACAGAGTGGACATAAACGAAATGTTCACACGGAATAGTAACAGAACGAGGGGACATGGGTGGAAGCGGGAAACTCAGATGAGTCACAGGGATGTTAGGAAGTTTTCTTTTAGCGTGAGAGTAGTGGGAAAATGGAATGCACTTCAGGAACAGGTTGTGGAAGCAAATACTATTCATAATTTTAAAACCAGGTATGATAGGGAAATAGGACCATAGTCATTGCTGTAAACAACCGATGCTCAAAAGGCGGGATCCGAGAGTCAATGCTCGATCCTGCAGACACAACTAGGTGAGTACACACTCCAGTTGATTGACAGTCGAGAGGCGGGATCAAAGAGCCAAAGCTCAACCCCCGCAAGCACAACTAGGTGAGTACACACACACTCATAATTCCTCACGGCTAAGTGAACAGCGCTCGGTGGTCGTAGTCCTAAAGAGCCCGGGTTTGATTTCTGGCGAAGGCTGAAACAAATGGGAAGAGTTTCTTTCACCCTGGTGCCCCTGTTCACCTAGCAGTGTATAGGTACCTGGGTGTTAGACAGCTGCTACGGGCTGCTTCCTGGGAGTGTGTGTGTGTATATGTATGTGTGTGGTTAGAAAGGCGGGGTCCAAGAGCTAATAGCTCAATTCTGCAGACACAAATAGTAAATACACACACACAGTACAGGTGAGAGGCAGAACCAAAGAGCCGAAGCTCAACCCCCGTAAGCGCAACTAGGTGAGTACAGGTCTCTAAAACTGGTCTGACGTAGGTGTTGTACAGGGATCTAAATGTCTCGTTATTTAGGCTCGTGAAGGATGTTGTGACGTTTGCTGGTGTCGCGTATGCTGCTGACGGTATTCTATTTATGTGAGCCTCCGGAGTTAGGTTTGGTGTCATGTCCACTCCGCACTGTTTTCTCCAGGTGATATAGGGAGGCGTTTCCCTTCATCGTGTACCATCCTTAAGATCTCTCAATGCCTGTTCCTTGTTCCATCACCTTACATTTGCTGGTGTTGAACTCCAGAAGTCATTTACAGGACCAATTCTGGTGCTTGTCTAATTCATTTTGGAGACTTGTATAATCCTCATATATCTCAACTCTTCTCATTAGTTTTGCATCGTAGGCAAAAAATCGACCTATAAGACTCACCTTCTATAGACAGGTCATTTACATAAAAGAGGAATAGTATGAGTCCCAGCACCGATTCTTGAGGTAAATTGCTTATTAACCCGCGTAATTACGACTATTCTTGCCGCCTCACTATGACTCTCTGACTCCTGTCTGTTAGGTAAATCTTAGGATTTTTACGCTTATTCCCGCTTGTCTCTCGAGTATGTGCAGTAATCTCTTGTGAGATACTGGGTCAAAGGCTTTTTGGTAGTCTAGAAATATGCAATCTGCCCAACCTTCTCTCTCCAGCCATATTTATGTTACGTTATCACAGAGCCCAGTAGGTTCGTCAGGCACGATTTCCCTTCCCTAAAGCCCTGATGATGATGCTTGTTTCATACCTAGTCCTCCCCAGGTGAGTAACTAGTCTTATCGGGATCAATCCTTCGAGCACTTTGCAGGGAATGCTTGTCAGCTGGGCAGGCAGTTCTCTCTACTTCGTAACTTAATCATTAGAGATCAATGCTACAGGTATGTTGAGTGTGTGTGTGTGTGTGTGTGTGTGTGTGTGTGTGTGTGTGTGTGTGTGTGTGTGTGTGTGTGTGTGTGTGTGTGTGTGTGTGTGTGTGGACCACACGGCTAGCATACATTCATTTCCCCATATATTGGAAAAAAAGACGAGGACAAAGCTGGTCACAGTTCTGATGTGGGACGCGGATTGTGGCCCACGCCCAAATGAGAGAGAGAGAGAGAGAGAGAGAGAGAGAGAGAGAGAGAGAGAGAGAGAGAGAGAGAGAGAGAGAGAGAGAGATGAGAGAGAGAGAGAGAGGAGGAGAGAGAGAGAGAGGGAGAGAGGGAGGAGGATCAGAGAGGGAGGGAGGGAGGGAGGGAGGGAGGGAGGGAGAGAGAGGGAGAGGAGAGAGAGAGAGAGAGAGAGAGCGAGAGAGAGAGAGAGAGAGAGAGAGAGAGAGAGAGAGAGAGAGAGAGAGAGAGAGAGAGAGAGGAGAGAGAGAGAGATATATATATATATATATATATATATATATATATATATATATATATATATATATATATATATATATATATATATATAACCCAGAAAACTGACACTAAAAAACTGTACTGCGAACCTCGACTCAAAAAACAACACCGAGAACATCTACTCTGAATGTGTACCGGATAACAATAATAATAATACTAATAATTTATTTACCTAAAACGTACATACGAATGATACATGAAGAGAGGACTATACACCGGCAAGACAAGAAGGTTGCATAAAGCCACTACACTACACTAGGCTGGGCGCGTTTCAGGCATAACTAAAATAAAAGAGGTTCGGTTCGTCAAAGCTTAGATCAGGTTCACTGGATAACCTCCGCTAAGAAAATGCACATATCTGCCTACATGACCATGTCTCTACCACACATCTGTACTAAAAACGAACGTTCGAAAGCCCTTGAAGAAAGATATTACAAAAAAAATCACTCTTAATAATACAATAATTTTATAGGATTTTCAAATTTACAATAGCAATTTAATTTAATATGACTTGGTCTTACAAAATACTAACCCCTAGGTTGCATACCAGACTTTAGTACAGCAGATGAGGGGAGAGACGCTGTTTCATCTCTGGAAGGGTAAATGGCAGGGGAAGGGGTCGAAACGAGGGGATTTGAGGGGGCAATTATGATCAGCGGGTGGAGGCGGAGCCGTTTGTTGCGCGGAGGGAGACACTCCGGACCAGCGTGAGTTACGCGGCTCTTTTTTGAGTTTGAGGGGAACATTTATAATTCAGTTATCTTAAGGCTATCTTTAATCTTTACTGAAATAAGAAAATAAGAAAGACAAAGGCACCAATGAGGTTCAATTAACGGCGGTGTTGAGTGAAGAAGAAATGTTGGCTAGGGATTTTACGCGAATATTTGAGGCTGGGAAAGAGGGGAGGTTATTTTGTGCCCGTTTTCTGTCGTATATCTTGACG